GGATATCCTGGAAGCAACTTATCCAGCTGTTGCTAAGAGATTATATGATGATTGGGTGCATGATCCTGCTGTTCCTATTGTAACGGGTTTCCTTGGGAAGGTATTGCTAATTGTTTGCAATCTACAGAAAACCAAAATTTTCATTCAAGTTTTTGTGGTTTGCCTAATTAATTCATTCAATTTATAGGGTTGGAAAACTGGTGCGGTTACTACCTTGGGTAGGGGTGGCAGTGATTTGACGGCAACTACAATTGGTAAAGCATTGGGCTTGAAAGAGATTCAGGTTCTTCTACAGCCTCAAAGTGTAATGTTATCTTTTAAAACGTTGCATTCATCTTTGTTCAGTTTGGATGTTTGTTTTTTCATTGGTAGGTGTGGAAAGATGTTGATGGTGTTCTAACATGTGACCCTACTATTTATAAACGAGCTACACCAGTTCCATTTCTTACATTCGATGAAGCAGCCGAGCTAGCTTATTTTGGTGCACAGGTGCGACTCTACTTGTACGCTTTAATACACAAGTGCAGCTATTAGCATTTATTACATGGAAATTTTTACAATGGCAATGCTCGAGTGGTTGAGTAAAGATATAAAATTGTTGCTTCAGGTATTGCACCCACAGTCAATGAGACCAGCGAGAGAGGGTGGGATTCCTGTTAGGGTTAAAAATTCTTATAACCCTAAAGCTCCTGGGACTATTATCACTAAAACAAGAGACATGACCAAGGTAGAGAGACTCCAAATTTGTGTTTCCTTTTATGCAGCTCATGTGAGAACCTTCATAGAAAACCAAAATTTACGCTTTTCCATATTACAGTCAATTTTAACGAGCATTGTTCTGAAACGCAATGTGACCATGCTGGATATAGCAAGCACCCGAATGCTTGGTCAGGTTGGCTTTCTTGCAAAGGTAAGAATGTACATTTTCAGCGCATTCATGTAGCTAAATGTGGTCGATAATCATTTAGGTATTGTTAATAATCAACATGTTTTGTGGGCCTCACCCTTTTGGCCAGGTATTTTCGATATTTGAGGAGCTTGAAATATCCGTAGATGTTGTTGCCACTAGCGAAGTCAGTATATCTCTGACACTGGACCCTTCAAAACTTTGGAGCAGGGAACTGATTCAACAGGCAAGTTCTTGTAGAGTCCCCAACACTTTATTTTCCAATCCATATATTTGTGTGTTTTTAAAGGCCATTTTCTTAAATTTTTTCCCTGTAACAGGAGCTTGATCATGTAGTCGAAGAACTGGAGAAAATTGCAGTTGTGAATCTTGCAAAAGGAAGAGCAATAATCTCTCTAATTGGGAATGTTCAACATTCCTCCCTGATTTTAGAGAGGGTTAGATCTTACCTCCTTGAAGGATTTCTCATAAAGAAAGAAATATTTCTTTTGAACTTCTTATCTGATTGTTTTTTTAAACTTCGGGCAGGCGTTTCATGTTCTTTGGACCAAAGGTATCAATGTCCAGATGATATCACAAGGAGCATCCAAGGTAAACAACAATGCTTATCACAAAAATCTCTTTCTGTACGCACATAACAAATTTATTTTTTTTTGTGGTAAAATCTTGCAGGTAAACATATCCCTTATAGTAAATGATGCTGAAGCTGAAGGATGCGTTGAGGCGCTTCACAAATCCTTCTTTGAGAGCGGTGACCTCTCAGAGTTATTGATACAACCCAGATTTGGCAACGGGTCACCTGTTAGGACAATGCAAGTAGAAAACTGACTCAACGAGCTCATTGCTTGATCGGCATTTTTCATTGTATTGCTTCTGAGTACACATTAGTTTTGCAAGAACTGCTTGTTGTCTACTGCTTGTTTTACGTTTAGGCAAGGAAACTGCCTGCCATCTTTCCATTTGGTGTAAGACCGATTTCTTGGACCATTTTGCGTGATCAAAGCTTAACCAGTAACGGAAAACGAAATATATTGATGTAACTACAGATGTTTGGATATTAAGGATTGGGTTCACAGATAGAATGTTTGGTACAAGAACATTTGGGCTAAAAGCTGTGCAGTTGTGTAAGCATGTGGACAAGCTCATCACTTGAAGGCCGGTCTGCCGGAAAATCAGAAAGGCAGATAATGGTGATTCTTAAAGCCATCAACATCTCGTCTTCCTCCACTTCCTCCCCAAGAATACTCTTATCTAATGCTTCTCGTGCTTCTCCGGACTGCTGCAAGTTCTTTAGCCACTGTCCTAAGCTGCCTCCGTTTGCAGCTTCTTCACTGAAAGGATGGGTTGGGTCTCGTCCAGTTAAAAGAACACCCAGTATCATCCCAAAGCTGAATATGTCGCTTTTGTCTGTGTATCTGTCAAAAGGAATTCACATAACTTGTTAGTATCTAGATATTGTTAAACTCAAAGGCGATGGCGTCGAATTTGAAGCGCACCTGTTACTTTGCGAAGACTCAGGAGCAGAGTAGCAAGATACCGCTGTGTGTGCACTAGGCATGATCTTCGCCAATCCGCAATCAGCAAGCCTCGGCTCAAACTCAGAATCCAACATCACATTCGTAGGTTTCAAGTTATAATGAAGAATCTGCGTCTCACAACTGAAATGGAGATACTGAAGCCCTTTCACAATTCCAACCGCAACTCTAAGCCTAATCTCCCATCCGAGCTCTACCTCTTTCGCTCTAACCTTACTCATTACATCCTCAAGGCTACCATTCGGCATGTAATCATAAACGAGAGAGAACTCATCCGATTCTCGAACATAAGCTCTTAAACTCATAAGATTCCTATGCCTTAAACCAGCAAGAAGCTCAAGTTCTTTCTGCAACCTTCTCTTAACCGACTTG